CCCCCCACCCTCCCCTCCCCCGGGCTAAACAGCCCCAAATCCCTCAGCTGCTCCCCATAAGTTTTATTTTCCAGCCCCTTGACCAGTTTAGTCGCCCTTCTCTGGTCCCGCTCCAGGAGCTCAATATCTCTCTTAAAGCGAGGGGCCCAAAACTGGACGCAATATTCCAGGTGCGGCCTCACCAGTGCCGAGTACAGGGGCAGGATCACTTCCCTGCTCCTGCTGGTCACACTATTCTTGATACACGCCAGTATCCCATTGGCCTTTTTGGCCACCTGGGCACACTGCTGGCTCATATCAAGCCGGTAGTCAACCAACACCCCCAGGTCCTTCTCCGCCAGGCAGCTCTCCAGCCACTCTTCCCCGAGCCTATAGCGATGCTTGGGGTTTTTATACCCCAAGTGAAGGACTCTGCACTTGGCCTTATTAAAGCTCATGCCATTGGCCTCAGCCCAACGATTCAGTCTGTTCAAATCCCTCTGAAGGGCCTCCCTACCTTCGAAAAGTGGGAGAGTTGAGAGTCCTCTGGGAGGATTAGTGTATACTCCAAGACATACTCAGATTATAGTTTAATTATGTCTGTATTTTTCTTGTTGTGTATATCAAGATCAATGTAATTTACTGATTTTTTTCTACAGATGTTTTTTAGAGAGATCTTAGGTCCTTTAGCACCAATTATATACCGGTTTGGAATTACAGGTACAGAAATCACATATCCAGGTTGCCTTTTCTGATTTTTTTTTTAAATAGTGGTAGAATGGAGAACTAAAAACAACAGATTCCCTAAAGTGAGCAGTTATGAAAAACAAACAGGAAACCCTCAGGCAAAGTAGCTGTTGGGAAGGAGCCTAAAGAAGCTTCGCTTGCTATTAAGAAAAAGAGATAGAGTTGTTGAAAGCTGCAGTGGAGCATGAGGTAGTAAGTCAGGACCTCAAATGAGCTGCCTCTAGTAGTGGCTAGAAATGAGAGGTTTGTGTGCACCTTCTCTGCTCAGTAGTGCATCTGTTCTCGTCATGTGCAGTAGTTCCATATCTCTTTTCCTTACTTCTGTATTCCAGTTGTATGGAGTCACCTAAGGAGCTCTGGCAGTGTGGGGTTCGGGGAAAATCAGTTGAATGTCGAAATGGTTAATATGCAAAATAAAGTTGCTGCTTTTTTTTCCCTTTTGTTAGGCACTTGGATATGCATTTTAGTCTTCTATTGTATAAATTTATTGATATTGAAACTAATATTTCTAATAGGAATGAAATTTAACAGGAATTCAAATTTTCTTTCTCCGTGTCTAACTTCTGGTCTTGCCTTGCAGTCTAACAAAAGCAGTGTTACAGGATCATTGTGTACATATGTGGATGGGAAAGGGCCTGAGAAATCAAGATAATGTAGTAAATATCATCAAGAAGTCTATTTCTTGTGTATCGCTAAACACAATGAAGTGTAGCTATTGGGTGGGAAGTGTTGGTACTGGCAGTATTTTTTTGCTAGTATAGGATTAGAAAGTAAATGAATGTTAAGACATACAAAGATGCATAGAGAAAGTTTTTTCTTTACCTGGTTGCAGGAAGAAAACAAAGCAAAAGCTGAAACTATTAATTTTGTAGTCAATAAGAACTGTTACTGGAAAGTTATATCTTACTCTGAAGCTGGATGTGTTTTTTCTTGCTTTATGTTTTTAAACAGCAGATCTGGAATGGACGAGAGTCCTCTGGGAGGATTAGAACTGTGTGAACATACTCCTGGTCTACTAGGGAATATCACCATGGCAGCAGGTCTTGCAAATGTAGGAAATACATTTGGAGGTCCACCAAGTTCTTTAGTTTCTAGACCTAATAAATTCCAAAACTCACCTATAGAAGATGATGATGATGTAGTTTTTATTGAACCTGTACAACCTCCACAAAATTCAACATCACTGATAGCAGATCAAAGGAACACTGCATTTACATCATCAAAAAATGAAGAACTTCAAGGCAATGATTGCAAAATGCTTCCTCCTCCAAAAGACTTAAATTCTCAAAAGGGCAGTATAAGTGAAACTATTATTATTGATGACGAAGAAGACATTGAAACAAGTCAAGGACAGGAGAAAAATGCTTCCAGTTTTAATGAACGAAGACTTCCAGAGTGTAAAAATAGAACCAACGATATGGAATTCTCAGCTTCCAGTTTTTCAAGAAGTAAGGTAAATTCAGGAATAGGTAATAGTGGTATAACCACAGAACCAGACTCTGAAATTCAGATTGCTAATGTTACTACATTAGAAACAGGTGCTATGAGCTCTGTGAGTGATGGTCATTTAGAAAATGCCGAAGGGCATGACATGAACTTAATGATTACACATGTAACATCACTGCAGAATGCCAACTTGGGAGATATATCTAACGGACTGCAGTCAAGTAATTTTGGTGTTAATATGCAAACATACACCCCATCTTTGACTTCACAGACCAAGACTGGTGTAGGACCTTTCAATCCTGGTAGAATGAACGTGGCTGGAGATGTGTTTCAAAATGGAGAATCTGTGACTCATCATAATCCTGGTAAGTTGTAATTCTGAACATTTCCTTAAAAGCTGAAAAGAAATAATAGAATGTTTGATTCCTTTTCTGTGACTCCAGAATAAAATATGCTGATGACATAATGTGTTAGGTAAACTATCTCACTTTATCAGTTAGTGATACCTTCAGATGTTTTGAGACACAAGTATTTGTATCTAAAGCAAAGCTTTCTTTATGACTTAAGTGTACCTCTTTAATTGATTAGTATGGCTATGTAACTTTTGTACCTTTTTGTGCAGTTCTGTGGCTAGTATAATTCATCAAAGTTTAAGTATTTTACTGATGTGTTGTCTTGCTATCTGAATATAATTTGACATGCAAAAAAACGGAATTTAAAAGTCTGATCTTAAGTTGTAAATAGCTAGCTGTCATAATTCATTGCATACTGAGCACTTCTCAGTATTTACATTGCTTAACAAAACGGGGTCCAAGTTACTTTGTGGACTCCCAGTTACTTGTGGACTCCCATATTCCTGCAGTAACTTATACATACTTTATAATTGCTATTTAGTTGCCCGTGGTAGTATGTATTTGTATCATACAATATTGATGAGTTTGAATTGGCTGATTTTGTTCTATATCTCTGTGTAAATAGCAGTATATTGTCTCCTAATTTAGCAGGTAAACAGGTATTGCTAAAAACCGAATGGACCAGCCATGAATGGTCTTCTGGGATTGCTGTTCTACAGAATTTGTGCTTTCACATAAGCAATTTAAAACCTTACAAGTTCCAACATATACTGATGCTCTGCTGCCCTGTTAGACTCGAAGTTGGGGAAAAAGCCAGATTATCCCTTCTGCTACAGGTTTAACTTCAGACGAGTTAGGATCATTTTAAAAGGAAAATTTAATACAGGTAGAATCTAGGTGCAATAGATGCACAATTTCGTAACTTGCTCGTATGCTGATTGAAACGTGGGTATATATTTTTTAGCCTGTTTTTCAATGAATATTTAAGTAGTTCTTTAATTTGTTCGTATCTTACCAAATGTACTTTGGCAAAAGTATTAATACCTTTCATATTGTATTATGGAAATGGCAGCATGATGCTAAGCTGTAAGTCCAATGTTAGATTGTGAGTTTTTGGTGTAAATCTTGAAACATTTCAAAATTTGACTTATGAAGTTGAAAGCTGGGAAGTTTTTGTAGTCTAGTGTCTCACTGAACAATTTAAAAATTCAGTTCCTAATCTTTTATAGCCAGCATTCCCAGTATTGCTAGTTGATCCCTTAGACATGGAATATGATTATTTTGTTATCACAGATGATCAGGTAGCCGTGGGTGAGTACTTAAAGCATTTGTTACCTTAAAGTACTGCGTTTGTTTTTTTTGAGAAAAGCACATATTAAGAAAACCGGCATGTGCTTTGCCTTAAGCTACTGGATTTTTATTTTTGGTGTGATTAACAGAGACACACTAGAATTTTGCTGGTATGAAATCTGATAGGTTGGGACCATAGCAGTATTGAAATAGATTGAGTTCAGAGAGACAGGAGTAGTGGCTGGGAGTCCTTTTAGGGACTGGATGAACATGACTCAGTCACAAGGGAGGGAAAAAATAAGTTTACAGGTGGACATGAGAAATGTATTTCAAGGTGTACATATACAGGATTATTTTATGGCTGTCGTTTTTGTGAAAAATGAAGAGCAGTAGGTTCAGAAGGAAGCCGGTAAGGGCTGCCACAGGTAAAAGGGAAGGAGGAAAAACTCCAAATGAGAAGAATTAGAAAATTGACAAAGAACATGAGAAGAAGAAACGAGGAAAGAGGGAAGACAGCTATAGTGGAAATGGCTTTTACACAAGAAAGCCTGAAACACGATAGGTGTGCATCGCTTAGAGGTTTTTGTACTTACAAAGATGTAAAGGAAACCTTTTCAAGATACGAGTTTCAGTTTTATCATAGAATCATAGAATAGTTTGGGTTGGAAGGGACTTTAAAGATCACTTAGTTCTGACCCCCCTGCCATGGGCAGGGACACCCTCCACTAGATCAGGTTGCCCAAAGCCTCATCCAACCTGGTCTTGAACACTTCCAGGGATGGGACAGCTATGACTCCTCTGGGCAACCTATTCCAATGCCTCACCACCCTCAGAGGGAAGAATTTTTTTTCTTGTATGTAATCTAAATCTCACCTCTTTCAGTTTAAATCCATTACCGTTTGTCTTATCACTACACACCCTTGTAAAAAGTCCCTCTCCAGCTTTCTGGTAGGTCCCCTTCAGGTACTGGAAAACTGTTCAAGGCATTCCCGCATCATTCTCTTCTCCAGACTGAAGCACCTCAACTCTCTCAGCCTGTCTGCATAGGACAGGTGCTCCAGCCCTCAGATCATCTTTGAGGCCCTCCTCTGGACTTGTTCCAGCAGCTCCATGTCCTTCTTATGATGGGGACTCCAGAGCTGAACGCAGTATTCCTGGTGGGGTCTCACGAGAGCTGGGTAGAGGGGCAGAATCACCTCCCTTGACCTGCTGGCCACACTTCTTTGGATGCAGCCCAGGATACAGTTGGCTTTCTGGGCTGCAAGTGCGCATTGCTGACTCATTTTGTGTTCTCATCAGCCAGCACCCTCAAGGCCTTCCTTCTTTCTCTTCAGGGCTGCTCTCAATCCATTCTCCACCTAGCCTGTACTTGCGCTTGGGATGGCTCCGACCCGTGTGCAGGACCTTGCACTTGACCTTGTTGAACTTCATGAGGTTCTCACAGGCCCACCTCTCCAGCCTGTCAGGGTCCCTCTGGATGGCATCTCTTCCCTCCACTGTGTCCACAACAACACACAGCTTGGTGTCATCAGCAGACTTGCTGTGTGTCCACAACAACACACAGCTTGGTGTCATCAGCAGACTTGCTGAGGGTGCACTCGATCCCACTGTCCATGTCACCAACAAAGATGTTAAATAGCACTGACCCCTGAGGAACACCACTCATCACTGGCCTCCGCTTGAACATTGAGCTGATGACTGTAACTCTTTGGATGCGACCCCCCAGCCAGTTCCTTGTCCACTGAGTGGTCCATCCATCAAATCCATGTCTCTCCAATTTAGAGAAAAGGATGTTGTGTGCAATACTGTCAAATGCTTTGGATAAGTCCAGGTAAATGATGTCAGTTGCTCTTCCCTTATCCACCAGTGCTGTAACTCCATTGTAGAAAGCCACCAAATCTCTCAGGTACTATTTTCCTTTAGTGAAGACATGTTGGCTGTCACCAATCACCTCCTTTTTTACCATGTGCCTTAGCATAGTTTCCAGGAGGATCTGCTCCATGATTTTGGTGGGCACAGAGGTGAGACTGACTGGCCTGTAGTTCCCTGGGTCTTCTTTTTTCCCCTTTTTAAAGATGGGGGCTATGTTTCCCCTTTTCCAGTCAGCGGGAACTTCACCAGACTGCCGCAACTTCCCAACTATGATGAATAATGGTTTAGCATCTTCATCTGCCAGTTCCCTCAGGACCCATGGATGCATCTCATCAGGTCCAATAGACTTGTGTACATTCAGGTTGCTTAGATGGTCTTGAACCTGATCTTCGGCACCCTCAGCAAGTTCGCCGATGACACCAAGCTGTGTGGTGCCGTCGACACGCTGGAAGGGAGGGATGCCATCCAGAGGGACCTCGACAGGCTGGAGAGGTGGGCCCGTGCCAACCTCATGAAGTTTAACCAGGCCAAGTGCAAGGTCCTACATCTGGGTCATGGCAATCCCAGGCACAAATACAGACTGGGCAGAGAATGGATCGAGAGCAGCCCTGAGGAGAAGGACTTGGGAGTACTGGTGGACGAGAAGCTCAATATGAGCCGGCAATGTGCTCTTGCGGCCCAGAAGGCCAACCGCGTCCTGGGCTGCATCAAGAGGAGCGTGGCCAGCAGGTCGAGGGAGGTGATTCTGCCCCTCTACTCTGCCCTCGTGAGACCTCGCCTGGAGTATGCGTCCAGTTCTGGAGTCCCCAACATAAGAAGGGCATGGACCAATTGGAGAGGGTCCAGAGGAGGGCCACGAAGATGATAAGAGGGCTGGAGCACCTTTCCTATGAGGACAGGCTGAAAGAGTTGGGGCTGTTCAGCATGGAGAAGAGGAGGCTCCGGGGTGACCTTATAGCAGTCTTCCAGTACCTCAAGGGGGCCTACAAGAAAGAGGGGGAGAGGCTGTTCAGGAGGGCCAAATGTGATAGGACAAGGGGTAATGGTTATAAAATAGAGGGAGGTAGATTCAGGTTGGATATTAGGAAAAAATTTTTTAC